GGGCAATGAGGAAACAGGCATAAAATGGACTCACACAAAAAACTTGGAGGATCTGGACTTCGCCGATGATATATGTCTGGTTTCCCACAAACTGAAAGATGTCCAAGCGAAAAGCAACAAGTTGGCAGAAGAAGCATCAAAGGTAGAAGGGACTTCAGGTGAACATAGAGAAAACAGAGTTAATGAAGATTCCTGGACAAGAACAACAACAACTGACAACGACCAGCATAAATGGGAGGAACCTGAAAGAAACAGCCTCTTTTACCTACCTAGAAAGCATCGTTTCAACTACATGCGAATGGAACTGACGAGGATATCAAAGCAAGAATCGGAAAAGCAAGACAAGCTTTCACTACTCTCAAGTCTGTGTGGAGGTCAACAGCACTCAACATCAAAAATGAGATCCGGATTTTCAACTCCAATGTGAAGTCAGTGCCACTATACGCATCAGAGACTTGCACTGCGCGTCATAAAGAGCATCTCAAACAAATTACAGACCTTCATTAACAGTTGTCTTCGCTCAATACTCAAGATCAGATGGCCAGACAGAAAAGATCAGCAACAGGGTTCTCTGGCAATGAGCGAACCAACCAGGAACCGATTGTGAAAAAATAGGCAGGAAGAAATGGAGATGGATTGGCCATACTCTGAGGAAACCATCAGGTGACATCACTGGACAAGCCATTGCTCGAGTGGAACTCGAAAGGGAAGCAGCGAGTTGGTCGTCAGTGCAAGGGTGACTTGGAGGAGGTCATGTGAAGAGGAGATGAAAACGTGTGGGCAGACTTGGAGCCAGGTGAAGACTCTAGCAGAGAATCGAACGCAACGGAGACGCACGGTTGAAGCCCTATGTTCCTCTAGGAATTAAAGGAAACAAAAATAATATAACAACAGCAAATAAAGATTAGTTCCCTCATTCACTTATAACCTTGCAGATATTATTTGTTCCAGTTTGTGATACCGGATAACTTCGGATATGGGCATGCAGTTCTGTTTACTTGAGTTGCAGAAGAATTTAAAGGTGAGGCAATTTGGACAGTCAAATAATGGGAGATACTTCCCAAACGAAGACTTTCGTCTTTGACTTTGCACAGCCAATACATGTTAATAAACTTGTTTGCGTTGCAGCGAAATAAAATTTTCTATCTCATATTCTCGTGTTCTATTTTTTCTGCATTCAGTGGGGGCATGGCATGCTAGACCGGTATTCCCTAGTATATGAAGTCGTTACTATACGTAAGTGTAATTCTGTACGAACATTATCGTTCGATATAAGTGGTGAATTATAAGCACTTTAGTCAAGCCCAAACATCTGCCTCAAATTACGCGATTACGTCTCCTAGCCAAAGGTAAATCTGAAAAGACCAATTATATAGTAACCTGACCTCCGCATTTGAAAAATAAGAATAGAGCTTAGGCACTGCGGTAGAGTTCGATATAAGATTAAGTGTATTCAAGGGCAGTGCATGACTATCATTTCACTTAAAGCGTGAAGTCAACCCGTATGGTTATGCTGCAAAATGAGGTCTACTTGGGAAGAATAATTGAGTAGATATTTATCGTAATAATAATCGTAATAATATCGTAGTAATATTTCGCTTACACTGAATTATGCCACCAATTACTTTCTCAGGTCTCATTGATAAGTCAGGCCTCCGTCTCGTTATGATGAAAAATTTGGTTTCACTTAGATAGAATTAATAATATATATTTCCTATCTATGTAGGACACACCAGTTGTACAGGCATGGATAAGTATCATTTAAATTACATGAATTTGATATATAGTGAAATTGCATGGTTGCTATCCTCTCTGACATCAGTTAGTGAGTACATTCTGATAGTTAGTCGTTCAATGGAGCACATAAAGAAATATAGAAATATTGCCTTCGCATTAACAAAAAAACCCAAGTATGTGTCGTACAAATTACAAATATTTGGGAAAAAATAAAGCTTGAATTCAATTCCTCCATATGACTTTGTTGTGTGCGGCATCGTATCTTGTTTTATGTACAAATTAGGTATTAATTTAAAATGAGTGATTTATTTGTATGATTTTGACATCATTTTCATTGCAAGTAATACCAGATGTGAATTCAACTGAATGCAGATTAATATTGGTTATTGTCAAGCAGATTTGTTTTACTGCACTCAAGTCACCCGCCATTTGTCACAGCATGGTTGTTCCGTACGAGTAAGTTGATAAACACGTAGAAAGCTATATAAAAAACATTTTAGATCGTTGACAGTGCTTGTATAAGATGCTGTACAGCGTCTTGTTATGGTGACAGTGGATTTCATCAAGGATGCTGGGCCATTACTAGCCAAACCTTGAGGGATAATATATGAGTAAGTGACTTAAATTGTTTCTCAGCTTCAGTTGGAATGTAGATCAATGCAACTTGTACTACAATTAAAAAGTATGGTAAGCACGAAATAAAATATTTTTAATAGGAATAATAAGCAAATGTCTTTACACAACTGTTTGTCGTAATTATTTCGGCGATATCGAATTGCTGTGACCAGGTTGACTGACGTTACCCGACATCAGCAAACAAGTGAATAAAGTCTATTTTGTAAATCGCTAAAGTTAGGAAAGAGTAATATAGATGTTAAACAGCTATCAACAACTTGGAATATAATTCTGAATATAAAAACATGAGTGAGCAAAAAATAATGAACTATATATATATATGAGTACAAATCATAAATGTGTGAACGAAACAGTTCCAGCAGTTGTGTGAACACGGGCATTAATTTTGCTCGAAATATTACCAATAACAAAACTCATCATTGTGTGTAAACTATAGAAATGTAATTATACTTTACTTAAAAGTTAAACGCTTTATATTTGACTAACTTTGCTGAAAATAGTTCATTCTCTTTTCTCATCCTTTGCTCATGACAGCATTCTTCCGTGGTTTTCACTGTCGCACACATTGTTTATCTTGTAAAGTATAGCACTAAGCAAATAATAATTTAATATGTCATATAAACGGGCGTGTACAATGAATGCTTGCCATGTTTACAAGCACGATCAGTTACGTTATGAATTTCAATCGTTAAGTATCATAAATTAATATTTTTTCCAAAGTTTAAATTATTGAATTATTGTACAAGCAATTAGAACAAGTTAACATAGATGTTAAACTGTAAACCCTTCACAATGAACACTGCATATTTACGTAAGTTGTATGCCCTCACCCAATTATAGCCTACTTTTGGAGGAGAACGTCCTGAGAAACTGCAAAATTGCATAAAATGCAATTATCGATAATGCGTCATTGAAAGTCCACCTACAACATATATGCGGCAAGTGGCTATTGAGTCCTTGGAATGGTAGTATACATTTGCAATGCTTTATGCTAACCGCATCGGTGTAACCATGGAAACTATGACGTTTTCGATGAAAATACAGCTTTGTTCAAACACTGGTGTTGTTGTATTTCTAGTCAAAGCAACCAGACTTTAAGCAAGCAACTAATAAGCACAAAGAGTGTCTCAGCCTTAATGAAGGCCTATCCGGTTAAGATAAAATGGAGTTTAATAGTAGGCAAATAAAAAGACTATCGTGAAGTAGACAAGTGATATTTCAGTGACAGGCAAATTGAAAGGTCTGCAAGCTTAGAATTCGTAAGGCAACCTGATATGTAAGATCTCTCACGAATTTCTGTAGGACCTATGGGGTAGCATTGATGTTTCGACATCATTCTGAACTTTGGAAAGATGATTTACAAATGTAAAAGGTTATAATCATCGGAACTGCTGTGATATTTTCTAGCTGCTCGGAATTTTTTCCTTGGATGCAGTTTCTTATCAACAGTTTGCATTATTCATAGTGAGTTTAAAGAAAACTTTATTCTTTCTTCATTTTCATCAACAGCATGCAGTAACCACATACAGTCAAGCACTGTAACCTCAACATCACAAAATCCCTACAGATAACTTGTTTAATAATAAGTGCTTTAAAGATATGAGCCATAAGTGCACCTTCCATATCCTTCATTCATTAGAGATCTCGGAATATCTTAGTGATCTAAAAATGAATAATTATTAAGACTGGTATAACTTGATTAACAGGTGTAGTAATTGTAGGACGCTAGCTACTATTCGACAGAAAGCTGATACTAATTTTAATCAGTCTGACATTTTAGAAGGACCACCTATACCATTCTTCTTGCCCCAATGCACACTGATATCAACATAATATGATGCCATGTTACGCGCTGAGCAATTACGGTCTCCCGAAATTCCATGTGACTGAGTAAATTAACCTAGTATCACATCTTCACCGGGGCAATTTTAACTAGGAACTTCATCGAAACGGATATAATCACCAGGAAATTCAGCAGCTTGTCTCATTCATCGTATGACCTCTTCGATGTGTTATGGAATATTTCAATCATCACGGATGATAATAAAAGTGTTTAACATCCTCAAAACGTACATCTTACTTGTGTCTGTGGGCTATTTCTCTTCAAAATGCCTGAATCTCATAGGATAACTGCTATAAAAACAACCGTTGCCTGTAGTCAGATTACAACCTTAAATCTAAAACAACTCGCAAATAACAAAGCTTTAAGTAGCTAAAACGCAAATAATAGTCTTTCCATGTGAAATTCCTTATAGAGGATGACAGTTTTTAGTAATAAATCGTCTGGGATATCAACACAATTTCACCCATTATTTCGAACACAATGCAGGAAAATATTGCTTTTTCCGGCTACAGAAGCCTAAAACTAGTCAAGTATAATATATTTTCACAAAACCGAACGATTATAACGACCATATAGGCGTGAACGCGATAACCCATGCACTGCGCGAAAACATATCACTATGACCTTTATCCTCAACCATAATTTTTCAGTGGAAGAGAGAAAACTTCTACCATAAAATTTGGATTTATGATAATAATATTGTTTACGGTGTTTCAGATAGTATTATAACGAAATTCAACTGGGAAAGCTCCCGGTCACGCAGTAATATCATTCGAACTTATATTTTATATGCGTCATCAATTATATGTACTCTAAGACCTTGTCGGAAAGCGCCTCTTATAAAAGTCGTTTGTTGAAGGTCGGGTCTTCACATTAACTCCAATGTTAGACCGCTGGGTGATTTAGTCCTGTCAAATGTTCAGTGTTATGGCAGTTTAGTATACATCTCAGGAATATTATTGTTTATGTTGGTGGTTAAATAGTGGTCAGAAGTGGTAAGTGTTATCATAAATGTAAACCTAGTTGATGAATTTTCATAAAATGTTATTCTGCTTCTAAGAATCATAATAATCAAAAGATTTTTTGCCTTTTGTTATCGTCACAGTGAAATAATTATGTATTCTGTCCCCTAGAAGACTTTTTATCCTGAACAACAAGATATGAAATATTCAGATCTGATAGAATTTGCAGTTTGAATTGAAATTAAATTGTAATCCCAAAGTCTGTGTGGCAATCAAGGCTATACTATAAGTCACTGGTTATTACATGGTCCATTGTTTAGTACGTATGATTACTATCTTAGAGAAATAACGACTTAGCCAGCTTCTGCACATAAGCGGCTACATGGTGTGTAGCATTCCTCTCTAAAATCTGAATTCATATGTAGTTGTATCTGTGACATCAAGTTATCAGAGACTCAAAGTAGCCAAACTCTCTGGCTGGATTATCTGTACAGTCCATCGATACGTTATTTCTGGAGTAATATGCGGTATTAACACTACAAACATTACAGTGGCAAAGTTAAGCAATAGCGTCCCAAGGGGTCCTAACTCACGGGTGGTCTGAAGCCGACCAACCATAAATATAAGTGATTCTGCACAAAAATGACGTTTATTTACGAGAGAATGCATGAACACACACTAAACAGGGTGTCTTTCTCTAACATGATGTGAAAATACGTCCTAATATAATGGGGAGTACCAGTTGCTAAGGTAGACCAGTTTCTGTGCACGTATTCACCTAGGTAACTTAAGGTGAGTTTTTTGTGACCCACTTATCGCTCTTATCCTGTTTTGCAGTTTTCCCCGAAAGCCATCGGTTGAATTCCTATGGTTTCCAGTAAGAGGATCGACGACTACTTACTAGGAAAGTGCGGATAATTAAACAAATTGAAATAAAAAGAACGAACTCTAAATCTTTCCCTAATTGTAACTCTAACCTTAATCGTAACCCTAATTATAACCCTGATCCTAACCTTAACCAGCTATCAACACATTGTCTAAACAGTACTTAAAAACGTCATCTGAGTGAAATTTGCCCCTAAGTAGGTGAATAGCATTCATATTTGCGCTTTGATTATGTTTTTTATTCCTTTATGTTCCCAGGGAAATACAGGGCTTCAAGCTAAAGTCTTGAAGTTTCGGTGGCAGTAGTGTTTATTTATACGGATGGGGTTGCCAGCCTCAAACCCAACCTTCCCTCTTTACCAGTCTTGTTACTGTCTTAGCGAGGTAAAGCGCGTCGACCGGGGATCAAACCCCGAACCACATGTGTGTTTGGCGAGCATCCTACCGCTTTGCCACCGACTTGCTTTAATTATAGCTCATTATTAATAATGACAGGTATTGTCAGTCAACGACTAGCATGCGTTCAAGGTTATTGGAGCGTTCGCATCCCTGGGTCTCTATTGTTTAACTACGCCACTTCGGTTACTGTGTGATGCATAATCTCAGTAAGGGAAATCAGTCGATTGAAAAACTTTTCGAAGCAGAGCCGTATACAAAACTGTACCAAACCAAGTTATGTTATGAAGCGTCATCTGTTGACGTGGTTGAGACAGGTGTTACTCAAACTTACTCTGGGTCTTCCACGTGCAATGTAACATCAGATTACAAGGAAGTTTTAACTGACTACATCAATACATTCCTCCAACCCATAAAATATTGTATGTTAGTCTAGGTAGTGTATGGAAACGCTGACATGCAGGTGATATTTGCTTTAATGCAATCCAGAATTGATACAGGAAGAGGTTTTGTTCTTTGTTTTCATTACAGCCATAATATCCTGTCCCGTTATTTGCAGCATATATTCGAGTTTACAAATTTTCGCGGTTATCCATAGTGTCATTTTTATTTTGTCTCCTCTATTCCTACCTCTGTTAGTCATCTGCAGGTGTGAGATGTAGTAAAATACTCTATCTACCTTATGTTAACCTTGGAAAAATTAGCTTAGCGAGCATAGTTTTCGAAACTCCATAGTCGATTATTGCTCAACTCGTAACTGCTGTTAAGGAGAAACAAGCGAGAGAAATGTTCCAATGAGATATTCATTTTCTGTTGGACTTTTCAATACTGGTACACGTATCATTTTCATATATTAGTCGTACTTCTTAACGCAACTTTGTCATTCATCATTTCTTGCATCAATGTCTTTAGAGGACGGATTCCTGTCAAGTACACCTTATTGAAGACTGTCTTGGAAACTTATAGTTGCATTGGTGCTTGTGTCGAGCTATTCTGTGAGATATCCATGTCGAACTGTATCCACTAAGGATTTCAACTCTTCATGTTCTTAATAGATGTATTATTTGCACATCTCACTTAACTTTTATGAAGCTTTTAGTACTATATTTCCTGTCTAACCTGCGAAAGTCTTGTTGACCGAGGATGCAGAATTTTCTGAATACTTGAGATGATAATCTGACAGTGTTTGTAGTGTACTTCTCGTCATCTAAATGTATCTTGTTGTATAGTGTTGGAGTGATCATTACCTTTATTTCATTCCGTTGTCAATAAAGAAGTGTTTGCGCACACCAACCATCCTGTTTGGAGTAGCGATAATCATAGTAGATTGACGATTGAAAAAAAAATTGATGACTTTTGTCAAGTTGCATTACTTATGGTATAGGAGGACTATCTTCTGTACAGTTAGCAGAGCACCGAGTTAGTAACTCAGTGGTCACTTCTCTCGAGTCTTGCTGTGAATCACTTTCATTTCAATCTAAATTAAGTCAGATAGTTTAAAATAAAATGGGTATTTTAATTTTCACAGAGTTTTTAAACTTTTTCTTTAATTTGTTAAACCGTACAGGTGTAATATAATCCTCGAAGTACACTAACCTATCATCATGTTATCACCCATAAAAGCAAAAGATTCTTTGATGCTCAGTTACTTAAGTTCAAACATTTGAAAAGTTTTAGCCTACATTTTTAAATGTTGTCATACTGAAAGTACTCGCTTGGGTTATTTAAACACACAAATTTTTCATCTCTTTTTAGTAGTTCACTTGCTTGGTTAATCGCTACAATCACAGGCTCCTTCCAGTCATACAGTATAACTCTGCATACTGACAGTGTAAAGTTCGTTTAACACGGATACTATTCCACCTACAGAGATTAAGTTGCTTGTTAATATTGTTAATTGTTTATACAATAATTAGGCGCTTAAAAATAGAGATGTTGCTCATTGGTCTAATAACTAGCCTTACAGTCAATAAATCCCGGGTTCGAGTCCCACTCTGCCTGCTTCAATCTTGACAACTGAGTAGTATCATCAGTCCTCACACAATAAGTGTAGTTCATAGCCTACCGCTTGAAATATATGTTCTGGATAACTGAGTATAAACCAACATACATAAGTGTCTTTGGTCACTTGTTTATCATATTGTAAAGACTATAAGTGATTTTCCACGCAATCGAATCACTGTCTATATATGGAGTTATGTTTAATGTCGTAACATGAATAAATTAATCTGCAACATATCTAATACTAAGTACAGTATATCAATGGATTGTGTCACTCATCTTATTGGCCATAATATATTTCAATGAATGTAAAATAAGATTACTGGTATGTGTTTATCAACTTCTAAGCGATCTGTGTAATCGTGTGAAATTTTTTAGTGTACTGATTGATGTATATATATATATATATACCGGGCCTACTGTTTCGTTTTTCAGTTCCAGTGTACAATTTCACTTGGAATCATATACTTGTATGTGGTATCATTTTTTTTGTCTGAATTGTTTTTAACAGATGTTTAAGCGACTAGGTCGTTGTCATTTGAAGTCATCTCGTGCGCCGCCTGGAAGAGATAGCACAAGTAATAAAACTCATCTGCCAACAAAGTGCACTGCTTGGTTATTTTCTACTATCTCTTCAAAGATTTCAAATGCACATGATAATCAAGCTAATAAAAATATAGAAACTCATGAAATTGATAATTCCTGTAAGATAGAAAATTGTGGTGAAGTAGTGCATACATCTAATTCTCAGCACGTTAATGATACTTCTTGGAATGTTTCTGGTAAACCTTATTGTCCTGAACCAGAGCATATTAAAGTGCCATTTGTACATTTCACGAAAGTGAGAAATCAATTCCTAGCTATTCGGTGAGTCATTTATATTTTTAATAAATTTTGATTGATCGATTGATTTTCTATATTTTCTCTTTCCCAAAAAATTAATTTAATTGTATTACAAATTTTCAAGTATTGGTGTTTGTGCAGGGATTTGATTAGTTTCCAGTTAGATCATAAGCTTTAATTTGTTTGTTCTTTTCTTCTGTCAATCAGCCTTTGAGGGGTATAATAAGAATTTGTATGTCCACTTGGGTTTTACCATCATTTAATGTAATCATGTGCCAATTTACGCTGATTACCTCGTTCATATAGAAATATCAGGATAAGGTACTCCACTGATGAGGCCTATTCTAATTATTTAATCACTGTTCATAAATATCTACGACTGGAGGATTTTTCTGATATTTACATATCTGCCTCTTCTGTAGGTATTACATCACAGTTACAGACTTGAAGTTTAATAACCTACTTATTTTTAGTATGTCAGTTTTACAGTACACCAGTTGTACTTCTCAGAGATGTGTAGCTCGTTGATTCAGTCGTCCAACTACAAACCAATAGATCGCCTTGTAATTTTGAACTTTCTAGTCGATTTTTGTAAAATCAAGTGGATGGTATCTGAAACTTTCTCACGTATGCGGTTTCGTCACTATCCTTGTTGCATACGCTTTTGTATTAAGTTATTGTGTTAAACTTCAGTTGTGATTCAGATAACCAAATTCTGGCCTAACTGTTAGTAATAGTGCAAAATGATCAATTTCTGTGATATAATAAAGTATTTATTAATTTCCTTTTGAAGTACAAAATTATTTTCTTGATAATTCATGCTACCTTGACTACTACATGCAGACTGATAATTAAAGAACACTTCATTGAATACCGTGATTCGGTAATCCCCAATGTTACTGTAATATCTAGAAAGTTTTCCATTCATCCGTTAATGTACTTTGCTGTGAAGCTTTCGTCAATTTCTAAATAGCAGGATGGTATATACTACTGATTGATATCAGTAGTTAAAAACTATTCAAGTTAATGTAATAAGTAGTAATCTTCACTAATCGAATTAAAGTGATGTAAAACCCAAACAACCATTTCATCAATTTGAGACTGAGCTTATCAGGGGTGTAAGAATGTGGACTCAGCTTAGAAAGCTGAAATGACCTTCCGTATGTTTAGATCACTTTTATCCGTCTAACAAGTACTACTAATTGACTTATGTTGTTTCCAACTACTCATATCAATCAGTAGTATGTACGTTTTTATTTTACATGCTTTCTTGACGATCATTTATGGCATCAAGCAGGTCGCATATTATGATGTGAATATTTCGGATTTCTTAATGAAAATATGTAATTTGCAGGTGATGGATTTTATTCGTCTGTTTCTATTATTCCACTGCCAAGATCTAATCAAGTCGTGTATTTCATTACCAACAGTCTAACCATAAGTCTAGATCGCTTCCACTCATTTTGATATGAGGAAGGGATTAACAAACACTGCAAATTCTTATAAATAAGGTTTGAGTTGTCAGAATTTTCCCTAAGTGTTTTGTCTTCATTCTTTGAGTTTCGAGTGGAATACAGAGCTTCAAGCTTCGAAGTCTCAGTAGTGGTGGCGTTGTTTGTACAGGGTGTGGTTGGTAGCCTCATCCCCAACATTCTCACTTTTCCAGGCTTGCTACCGGTTAGGTGAGGTTTCGAAGTGTGTCGTCTGGGAATCAGACCTGGACAATTTGCATAGTTGGTGACTACTCTACAATTGAACCACTGACGTGAACTTTTTCTGAAGTAAAAGCTTTAGCCAACCAAAATACGCATATAAACGTGTTAGTTTAATTTACCCTACAAGTGAGCATTATTATTTTATCTTTTTGTCCATTACGTCTTATAGTTCCCTGCCACTATCTCCATCAGTGAAGGATCAGCTAAAATCTCATTCCTTCAACAATTGGTTATATACAGATGCTGAGTTAATCAATTTTGTTAAATTTATGTTTTTGGATTTAAATCTCCCGGAATTATGTCACTTTTCTATTGATGTACTGGAGAACTGGTTGTTTGCGGTCTATTCACGATACAACAATGTACCATTTCATAATTTTAAACATGCATTCATGGTAACACAAATGGTAAGCTGTTTTGTTGTGGTTTCTTAGAGGATTTTATTTTCGCATTTTTTGTAATTCTTTTTATTTATTGTATTCCTTTACGTTCCTAGTGGAAAATGGGGCTTCGAGGTAGAGGTTTGAAATTTCGGTTGCAGTGGATTTTATTTTTACGCCTCTTTACCGGCCTTACCACCGGCTTAGCGAGGTTTAAGAGTACGTCGACCAGGGATCGAACCCCGGACCACATATGTGGTTGGCTAGCGTTCTACTGCTTAACCACCGGCGCTTATTTTGGTACAGTTTATTTCAGTTTTAAACGTGGAATATGCAGTGGTGGGTATATTTTTGAATCTGTGACAGTATTCAGCGTATTGCTAGTCTGTGGTCAGTTTCCTAGTTCGCTCAAATATTTCTCTGTACTTTGGAGTTTCTGTAAAGATTGAGCTAATTCTCATAACCCCACGTCCAACCTTCCCTTATTTCGTGTTTCACTTGTTCATATTTTATGTATCTTTTTTGATTGACTGTGACTGAATGTAATGTCGTTCATTAGAAGTCATTTATATTAAGTTGAAAATTTCTTCTAAACACAGAGATTCAGCTTCTTCTGTCGAATTTCTATATCTTCAGCTGAATATAGAAGAAGAACTCGCAAAGCCGAATTAAGATTAGTCGGAATACGATAGATAACTTTAAATATACTGTTAACCTTAATTCTACGTTTAGTATCTACAAGGTATACTAAAACAGAAATACGAATAGATCTCGTTTGTGCCTTGCTTGAACATTTAGGGTGATATTCGAAAATCCGACGATGAACATGCCTAAGTGCACGCACAATGTCGAACCTACCTCCATAGGAACAGTCAGACTGTTAGATTCACATAGAGGAGGAATTAAGTAGTCTATCCTTATTTCTCTAGTGAAGAAAATTGGAGTGGTTCTGGAGATATAATGTACCTCTGTTGTATTGAATGCTCTTTTAACTGCATCCTTTAGGCGTTGTGCTATTATTTCACTAGTCTTATCACTAAGAAAGTGCAGTTTTAAGAGCAAGGACTTCTTTGGAGCTGTTACCATACTAACTTGCATTGGTGGTAAATTAATATTTTTACCAAGGAACTTTTCTGGATAACCAGTTTTACTAAGTACTTCTCTAGTAATCTTCGGCTCCTCATCGAGATTGTCACTCGAGCAGATCATTCTAGTTCTATGAACCAGACACTGCTAAATTGCGCGTGTACTTTACCCCTAGATATCTGTATTATATTAAAATTACCATATAAATATTTCTTCGTTCAATGCTTTTGTGCTCTAAACTGAATATTGGTTGACTGTGAGGCAACAAACAGTATAACCTATTGGCAATAAAAGTTCTTCTAAAGGATCATTTCTGTCGTCTGGATACAACTACACTGATAACAGCGTCCACAAGGCCCACTCTCAAAAAATTGTTTTCTCTTCTTCGGAAACCATAGAGTTTGTAGTTTGGGAGTTTGTTGCATATCTGTTTGTATAAAGTAGATCACAAGTACTTACTGTAGAGCTCCCCGTCAAAAAGTATCTCCTGAAAAAGTAACTGCTTTCTGATGAACTAATGGCTTCATTAAATTCTGTCTGTACCTCAAAGTGGGCGAAACTGAGAAATGTATGAGTATACTGATCAGTTGATGTAAGTTTCCCATGTATACTCTTACCCCATTTCCTTTTCTCATCATCATGATCTCTAAAAATGGGACACATCATTCTTTTTCTAATGACAGCTAAAGTCGATTGTGTTTTGTTAAATTTCTCAATGTTATATATAACCTATTCACTCACCTTAGAACTGTAAATTTATCATTCATGTAGTGACAATAGAAATCTGACTCGTTTATGATATCTTTTAGAGAACATTTTCGTAGTTCTGTTAGGAGAAAATCCTCTGAAGTTGAAAACAAAACAATCTTCAAGTGAATTAATAATCATTAATATTATCATTCGAAGTATTACTGTTTTATCCAGAACACGCCCTAATAACTTGTGATGTTTTTCTTCAATTTCCTTCGAAAAATTCATAGTAGTAACATGAAAATTATTTAAAAATAGGCGTAAATACACACTGCAATCCTTTGGATGTAACTGGATAATTAAAACAATATGAAATAAAGAAAACGAAGGTGTATTTTGATGAAGGGAAAATTTGATAGCCCGGTGATCTAAGCAGACTGTTTGATGTAATGGTAGGGGAATTTTCCCAGCGTTGTATCATTTTTCTTGCATGTAATTTCAAGGTTTCTGTTATCAATCTCCCCTTCCAATCTGTTAAGTCAAACCTTAGTACTTTAATTCTGTCGTATCCTATTGAGCAGTTCTATATGTATGTTTGACTGCATGTAATGTTATAGCTGAGCTTCTCTTTAGATTTTGTCTGGAATGTGTGTCTTGATTGTCTAAATGACACCCGCCTTCTGTTTGGACCTATGCATTTACTCGCACACTCTCTGTATTGCTTCAAAGGCCGTTAAGGTTGACAAATGCAAAAGTGTGCCAGGTTGTTCTCACTGTCACAATTAGTCAGTCCGCCATCGACTATCTCGTGTACGTATTTCCTTTGAAAAGGGTAACTCATACTTGGTTTCCTATCATAGACACACATTGTTAGTACTCTTGTTTATGAAGATAAACACAAACGGAGATTCCTGAGTATTAAGCTTTCTGAAATATGGTATGTCTGAATGGCTGAATGGTCAATTGGTTCGCCTTGTAATCTGAAGGTTCTAGGTTTGACCCCCAGAGGGTTGATAGGTGCGTACTGCTCAAATGTCCCTAACAAGGACGAGACAGCTGTCCAGTACTTCCTGATTTCTCGTGTCTGTAGTTCAGTGGTGGAATATTCCCCAGACATGTGCGTGATCCGATCCCTGAATGGTGCACTACTTAACCTCACTTAGCCGGTAGTAATCTCGGTAAGGAAAATAAGTTTGGTGTGAGTGAGGCTAGCAATCCTACCCCATACAAAATAAACACCATTGCTACTGAAACTTCAAAGGTGCAACTTGAAGCCTTATGTTCCACTCGGAATGCAAAGAAATAAGATAGAATAATACTAAGAATATAGTAAGTAGAATTACAATGGATGTTTAGCTGAAAAAATCCCGCCTAAATTATACTAATGATTATGATTTATTTTGTTTGGAGACTGTCACTCTGCAGCAGGTATGAGGTATCGAATCATTTCAATGTGATATGATTTTGAGCAGCAAGTAATTGTACTTGGAGTACTATCTAGTCATTAATACAGTATCTCCACTGTGTATTATTATATCAGATAAACTTCTCTAATATGGAATATGATATCATTATAACTTAGCAGTCCTTATCAATTGCATACGACTTAAATTAATTTTAATATCAATTTACAAAATGTTCACATACTCTAATTAATTGGCATGGTGATACAGGTCTTTAACATCACGTAGGATGGATAGGATAAAAGGTGTTAGTAAGCTTGTTAGTATATATATATATATATATATATATATTACAAGAAAATTGCAAGAATATTCTAGAACTAAGAACGGAAGTTGGAAATATATCAGTGGTGTAAAATTGGCAATAAACGTTATATAAGGGTTAAATGAATCATTTGAGTATGGGTCAAACGATAAAATATTCAGGTCAAGAATATGGATAAAGGCAATATTAAGGGTATAAAATTATTCTGTCAAGAGTGAATATAGGTGGTAAAATTAAATAACATAAAAAAGAACATTACTATGACCAATATGAAAAATGGGGTTTAACAAGAAGCATTTTTGAATAAATAGTTTAGGTTTTTGTCCATGCACAACTGGGAATTCATCAATAGATAAATGGAGAAAACACAAGCTTTTAGATTAGCTGAATTTGGCATTGTAGATAAATTTAGAGGATAAATCGCTTGAAACTGAATGACTTGATTCAATAAGGTGTTTGCAAATGAAAACTTCGTCATCCTATGCTCACTTTTCATCAACCAAACAACGTAGTGTTCATCTAAGCGTTTTACGGAGAACACACTTTCAACCTCTATTGTAACCAACTCCACATGAGCGTGTGAAACAGTAGATGCACATGGAGGTGAACATAATCGGCAGTTTATCCTTGACCCGTTGTCCAAATATACTACGGCTGGAGAATGCTAAGTCAGAAGCATAAAAAAGCAGTACACTTGGATGGATGACTTTTAGTCACTTCAACAGCTGTGTCACCTTTGAATGCCAAGCTCATAATTAATGTCTTCTTTGGCTATAGGATTTGTTTACGAGAGATTTATTGCTTCATGTTTCTTTCAAAAACCTTCTATAGTATCAATTAGTTAAGATTTTCCAGTTCTTTATCGACCGTATCTATAGAGCAATCTTTCCGAATCCTGGATCATTGAGAATAGATAAGATTTCTCTTTCTACCTAGAGGTAGAAGTTAGTATACCACCCTGTAGAGGTTGCCTTTAGGTAGATAGACGTTTTCAATGTGCCATCTTCTCTTGCACCTGCAATAATATCTAAGAAGTAGAATGTGAAATTCGGCTCTTCTTCGACATAGATAGGTGACAAGCACTCAATTTTCTGAGAAGTTCAGCAATTGAAGTTATCACAAAAAAAATATCGTCCATATTTCTTTTGTACCTAATCAGACTTGAGATAATTCCTTTCAATGGACCCTTCTCTAAGCTCGTCATTAAGACATCCTCTAAGAAAGGTCTTAAAGGATCTATCACTGAGATGCACGTTTAATGTCATTTATAATCAAAGGGACAGAGTGGGCATATGGTCTTCTTTATTCTATTTTAAAAATGAATATAACAAAACATAAACTAAAACATTTCATTTTATTAAGATGAGATTAACAATAGTTTTCTTCTGAATGTACAAGTGCGGTTTCAAAGCGTTTGTTTGACGACTACCCTTTCAACAGTGCGTTGCATGGTGTAGTAGAACAAAAACGTTAGTTGTGTTAGGATTTCAGCCATCTCTACCTGAGGACTTACGACATCAATG